CTTATATAACAACATTTGACCTATAATAAAGAAAATAATTAACAACAAAATAATAACAAAAGATATGATGACGAGGAGTTACTTTTTACTGTCTACAAACAACAGATGTTGCACTATTTTTATGAAGAAACTAGTATAGGAAAATTATATATAAAATATCTCTCTCTTAATTCTAGAAACTCTTCGTTTTTTTTCATTTGCAGGGGGAGGGAGTGTTTAGTTCCTGTACTCAGAGAAGTAAGATGAGCGCCGGAGTCCCCAAATAAATAAGGAAAGTAGGTAGACGAGAGCGCGCGCACGCGTAACCTGGATATCGATCTGCCCCAAACGGGAACGTGCACAGACCTAATTTAAGGGGTTTCAAAAGGAGCGCGTTTCTTAAAGATGAGGAAAATAACGGCATTAATTTTTAAGGTGTACACAGCAACTAATTTCTTATTAACTAAACGGGTCATAATTAGACGGACCTTTTGAAAAAGGTACGTATTAGTAATGGGTCATCAGCATACCTACTGTTTTTTTACGGGATTAGACAAAATGGTGGCATGGGGTTGAAATGATGCCCTGAGGAGTGACGAGATGATACGTCTTTGCATCTTATATAATTGACAATTAATCTTGGCGCAAGTCTGGAAACATTTCATCTTGATCGGGAAAGTGAGGCAGGTGGGAAGTCGACGTCAATCGAGTCAACAGATTCTAAGAAGTGCTCTTCTACCTTTTAAAAGAACAAGTGACCCTTCAGTTTTTCCTTACCAATACCACCTAACGACAACGGAGATAAATGAGAAAGAAAAATAAATGTGATAGAAGAAAATTATGTCGCCAGATGTATTGAGTTTCGTTTCGAAATTAAAGGAAAAGATTTGCAAAAGATAGGAACATGAAAATGCAGGGTCTATGTATACATAGACCTGACAGAAGAAATTTTATCGTATATAAAAGTTTCAATTTTATCGCTTATATTTGTGTAGGATTACGTCATTATAGGAGATTGCAGTGTGCTCTCAACATTGCTCAAGACAAAAAGATTGGATTTGGAAAAATCCGCTTACAATATCGGGGACAAAGATATGAAAGTATTCTATTTGAAATTGGTTGTCAGAATACAAAAATTGTGACCTCTCACTCAGAATATGAAGCACTGAGTTCATTTTACAACTCTTCAAAACTCTTTTCTCACATTAATATCATTAACCTCATTACCCGTCTAGTATGTTAAGGTTCCGTTCTATTCCAACATATCTTTAACACGATAACACCTTATTTATGTTTGCTTTAAATGCCATTTTTGAGGAAGTGCTCGTCGATAATGGACCACCCGCACACACTGTATGTGCGACTGCTTCACCAACTGCCCCCACCCCCACTCATACCCCCTAACTCAACCAGTAATTGTGTGCCACGCTATTAATTCATGTGTCCTCACGTTCAAAGAACCACCAAGATGTGCCGAAAAGACACGCAATAGCTATTAACTCCTTCGAAGCTTCCGCATCATTCTAATTAAACAAGCCACATCATAATGTAAGTTTAAATTCCTTTCATTTCATCCTTTCGTAAATTCGTTAAAAATTTCTTTTAAGTTCGTTCATTAAAGTTAATTACGTCTTGTTAGTGGATAAAAGTGAAGTTTGGTTCGTTTATTCGTGTGAATTCTCTCTTCTATAGCAGTAAATGTAGCTTCACCATGCGCACGTTTTGTTGAACTCTCCTTTTGCTTCTAATGGTACGAGTAGAGGTAAGGGCGAGTTGCTATTTTGTTAGCAATGCAGAAATCATACTTGCAATTCGTGTACCGATGCAAATAAGTTTTTTATAACTTAGAAACGAAAATGACTATTTTTAAAATATTGCTAATCTTGCGATTTTTAACATTTATTTTTATTTATTTATGTTAAACTTTTACTCATCTTTCAATTATTTATAGTTAAAATTACGGGAAGGGATTCTGGAACTCAAGAAAACTTGCGCAGATAATCTTTTCCCCCCTACGTCACATACCGGTTTTACTTCTTTTTTTTTTTTACTGAATAAATCTAAGTTAGAAGTCCCTGAAACATTGACGGCTTTTGTTCTCGTAAATCCGGCCAGCTGAAAAGAATGGCCCTGGGGCCACCGCACAGGGCACACACAGGTTCCCACCCGGGCCACGCGCAATACTTCAAGCTTATTTCTTGATAGGTAACATGAAAAGCAGGCCTACCCAAAACAGTGGCTGTAGGGCTACCTCGCAGAGCTCACACGGATACAGAGTACTACCGCAACGTGCCATGCTGCAAGGTCAGTTGTTAGAAGGTTAGAAGGAAAGCCGGCGTGCCCGAAACAGTGGCCATAGGGCCCCGCGCATGGCAGCCACCGAGCCAAGCGCATGACTTCGAACTAAGTTCTGAGAAGATTAGGTTCGGAGACGGAATCACTCGACTAACATTAAGCTCCTGCTGCCATCACTCGACCAACATTCGCCACTTTTCCCCAACCGTTCTCTCAGTCTTTGAGGCAAAGAATGATAGTAACTTGTTTTCGTTTTACCAATTAACGCATAATGTAAGAAACAATATTAAATGTATAGTCAAAAAGAGTTTATTCTTTGTGATCTGGTTTCTTTTGCGGAATTTTTAGAACAACCTCTAGCTTGATCTCGGTAATACATAGCTTCGCAAACTGCAACAGAAGTTGCTATTTCAGCACGAGCGTCGACTAGGGATGGGAGAAGGGAAATGGGAAACGAGATGAAAGACGGAGAGGTGTGAAGGAAGGAAACAGCATTTTCCAGGCGATGTCCTGAATCCAGCTCATTGGTCAGGCCTGGCCTACGCCAAAATTCCATGTCGAGAAAGAAAATGAATTATGAATCTCTTAGTGTTTTCGGCACTTTTTCCTCACCCCAAACTGACTATTCCTTGTCTGGTACGTCGTGAAGATGTGAAACGTACCTCTGATCTCATTTACGAAGCGTCGCGTGGTATGCTCGAGGTATTTGTTGTAAAAATTAAACGGGGTGTCCAGCAAACCAAACGCAAGGCTGACATTGACGGCGTCTCTTTCAAACGCCTAATATTCTTTGGACGGCACCTAATCTGAATTTTGTCGATCGTCTTATTTACGACGGCACCGCTACGCTCTAAATGCTCTGTAAATGTAAGGAACCACATGAGAAATGTTTTATTTTTTTACAGAATAGAAGTGTAGTGTTTGAAGAGTCTACCTCAATACGTCAACAAGCAACAAAAAATATCCATTTTAGAACTGAATGCAATAGTCGTATGATGCACATCCGTAGGATAAGAGCATAATCCAAACAAATACACAACAAGTTTTCCTAGCTCTTTAATTCCTTTCATAATAATTTTATTTTGTCATTCCCCCCACCACCTCCTCCCCTGATTTCTAGAAAAATTAACATTTATGGTGATAATTTGGATATGCCACAATAAAAACAAAAACAATAATATATTACTTTTCTTATAGAGAATATCCCCGCGGATCCACATGCTTTAATTCCCCTAAATCAACACTGAATATAATCCAACAAATTCTCCTAAGGAGTTGTTAAAATAATCATAATTTTACTGCTCGAAGAGTAAATAAATCATCAAATGAAGCAAATATGTGTTATTCATCGATAACTTTTGGATTATTTTACCAATGCAGCATTAAATAATCAATATACGGTTGAAAGAGTAATTAAGAATTAAAATGTAGGGAAAGGAATAGGCAATGGGGGTGTGAACCTTAGGAAGCCTTCTGATTTGTCCTAAAAATATTTCACACAGATTCACGGGGACTTAAGCCTGATACGACTACCATATGAAATACGAATGATACTACAATATGAAAAACGAATGATTTTTAAATTGCACCATACGAGCCAATAAAAATAGGGTAGGTGTTTCACATCTTACAATAAGTCGTAGGTGCTGATTCACACAGATTACTTATATTTGTAATATACACTGTAAAGTCAGTACAGATTCCAATTCCCTCGATATCCGTCGCGGCTGATTCCAGTTCCGAGCTTGGCAGCCCCACTTGTCGAGTCGTCAAGATTAAAAAGCAAAAGCTATTAGGGCTGTAGTAATAAAAATCCAGTTTGTAAGGAACCCTACAATTCCATTTTGAGTGTTCTCCGAGAATTCATTCTCGAGAAGATGCCGCTGTGAAAATTCCCTCTTTCTCGACTTGAGAACGAAAAGCTTTCGCTGTGATCTTATAATTTATCTTCTTAATCTCCCAGGCCATCTACGACGTCGTTATATGACCTTTACTGGAGAAATAATTTTTTAAAGCAATAATGCGGTGGGTTTTATTTGTTTTCTTTGTAGAAGACTTCTATTGTCACCCGTAAAGAGTCAAAATTGCAATCTTAAGATTGAACTTTTCTACTGTTGTTCATATGAACTTCCTACTACTACTTACCATTATTTTTATTCATACATACATAAAAACTTTCTAGAATTATGAAATGAACCCAATTATGAAATATGAATGATGAATGAACCAAATTATGAAATAAAAAATAAACTATTCGTGAGTGGTTCTTCAGTAATAATGCACTATTGGCAATTGGGGAGAGACAAGTTCACTGCAACACGCTTCAAGTCCCGAACCCTTATGATGTAGGTTTATCTTCAGACATCGCAATTTCCACTTTAACAATCACTTCTCTCATAAGAGTTGACAAGTCTCACCCCTTCACGTGGAAGAACAAATCAGTGCAGAAGCAAAGAGGTAAAATTGTTCAATAATGTTTTTGTTTTTTTCATTTAAGATATTTTGAGTGGCAGTCGACGGAGAATTTCTGCGTTCAATAACTCCCAACATTCAAATAAATATTTAGATCAGTATTGTCTTGGCTCCACACTTTACATTTTTATTTCCTCAGGAGATGTTCTGGCAGAAAAGGGAAATATAAAATGAGGAAAGATGTGAATAACAGAGACAAAAGTACAGTTGACAAGACAGCGCACAAGGGTAGAGTAAAACCGTTGAGGTGGAATTTAAAATTTGTAGACATCTGAAACTAATGTCACCTGAAAAAGACACCTAAATGACGCTAATGAGATCTCCGCAACAGCGCTGTAGATATGGAGGCTAAAGGCATCCTAATCCGTGTAGGGAAACTTAAGTTGTACTGATTCCCCCTTGACTTGTTATTTTATTGTAAATGTAGTACAAAAATATTAATCTTGAAATATCAAGGCTCAAGCTTATCATAAAATAGAGGTTTGGGGAATCATTGATACCTAAAAATAACCATAGTAAGAAATTGAAGGTTTTTTTCACAAATTTCTCCTAATAAATTACATCAGAATCTTGTCTCGAAATGTTTATTGAAGAGATTTGTTCAAGATTACTTGAAACATATTCTTAGCTCAGTCGCCGCAGTAAGTTCGAGTTGCAGTAAAATTAATTATGCCGAAATCGCGTTGTCAATAATGTTCCCTGAATAATAGCTTGAGGTTCACAGAATAAAACGGGATTAAAATTCTAATAAAATTTAAACTCTGATCACATTTTTAAAAACGAACAAAAAGTTCGTAATGTGATGCGTCAAGAGTAAATTGACAAGATTGAGCTATTATACCTCGTGCACCAAAACAAGGAATTGTAATAGAAGAAATTTGGGAAGAAAAAAATCTTAGGGCTATTTCAAGAGCCTGAGGATCCATAAGTGTCAGTGGAGACATAAGGGGAAGCCAGGTCCACCGTCCCGTGCCCCACCTCTTGAAGGGAGCTCCAACTACGCACAGTAAATGTCTTGTCAACCTAGGCGGCACCCCATCCAAGAGGATCGCGTGTGAGGGTCAACTTGTGTTCAGTGTGTAGGGTCAGCTTGCGACTCAACCTACATTCCGAAAAGTCTTTCGCAGCCATGGAGGCATTTCCTTGGCAGAGATTCAAACTGTCATCCTACAAAATTACAATTTTTTAGACGTATCAATAACATAAACATATATTTTAAATTCCGACTTGTAAATGTGATATGTCACTTTTCTTGTTCACCGACGACTAATCAATGACTTCCCTTCGTTCACGTGCTCAAACCTAGAATCCCAGATGATTCCTCCACCAACGCTCAAAATGGAAACCACATGCGTTTCTACCTTGATTGACTGATCGCGTCAACTGCTAAATCCATTAGGCCCGTAGATGTAGTGCATGTTTTTAACGCGAGTAGAGCCAATGATCTTCCTCCCGCAGGATGGCGAGATCTGGATTCGACCAACACGTCCCCTAGAGGGGGGATCTCCAATCAGGTATCCCCAACAACGGGAGCACCACCCCAATCGGTGGCGACAAAATCGCAGTCCCCACATATGTGGTAGTGTAGTGCGTGTAGTTGTAAGTCTGTGTAAGCAAGGGGTGAGGATAGGACAAGGAGGAGAATAGAAAGATCGTGCGCGGTCCTTGGCCCGTTCGCTAGAATACTGCTCCGGCATTCGCCTGGTGAGAGCGGAGAAACCATGGAAATCTACCGATCGGAGCAGTCAGTCGCTAGAACTCACCTATAGCTAGTGTCGAAAATTCTGTCACCATCGGTAACTCAAAGACTTCCCGGTCATAGACCGTGCAATGACATCAGTTGGTGCCCTAAACCACCTAACCCGGGCGTTTCTACCTTGATATTTTTCTCACCTCTCCGAATAATACTATTTCACATTTCCGAACCAAAGCAAGCAGTTTGGCGGTGGCGGTGGCGGCGGCACGCGATTCCAAGAAATAGCATCAGAGCGTGGGATGACAGCTGTGAGGTGCGTCCTTCGAAGGGTAATCGCGGAGCGAGGCGACAGCAGCAGCAGCGACTAATTAGATGTGCGCCGCGCAGCCGCTCGATGAAATTGCGCGTCTAATGAGCGCTCGACCGCACGCGCTAATTGCGCTGGCAGGCGCCTCCGTGGGAGATCCTCTCCCCCTCCCCCTCCTCACTCCTCACCCCAACACCGCAACCGTCACCCCGACGCTTAACACGCTGAAGCATACTTGTTCATAGTGGTGGCACTGAGCTCGCAGCCACCATTTATCATGACGAGAAAAACATTAAATGGGATGAGAAAACAGTTAACGTGCGGTAGAAAAACTAGTCGGGCTATAACAGCACATACTTTCTCGCCTTTCTAAATTTTTTAATTAAAAAAATTTGCCATTGGCGGAAATTGGAAGAGCTCGACGAAAATGAGACACGCGCCATTCTTCTAAGCGTCCCTTCTTCTATTCTAGGAGAAAAGTTGAAAAAATTTGAAGTGGTTTTTGAGACAATTGTTTTAAAAATTCAAATTGCCTTTATTTTGCGCAAAATTACACGAAATCTATTCATATATTTTTTAAAAAATGAATAAAACCTTATTTCAAGATGTCTTTAAAAAATATTTCGTTAAGTAAAAAACCTCTATCTTCTACATTGTTGTCGTATCAAGACGCTCCAAAATATTGCACTTTTTCATGTTTCGAAAAATCAGGGTTTTTAACCTACAAAAACGCAACGAACAAGACCTTCGCCATTTTCTTAGGCGTCTTTTACGCTATTTGAGGGCAAAGTTTAATCAAAACATTTGGACCCATTTTTTAGAATATTAGGAAAATGATTTGAGGCTTTACGTAAAGTATCCTCAAAAATCAAAATATCCGTTTAAAGCTCCCAAAGTCTCGAGTTCGTTCACATCAATTGGGGAATGTCAATTTTGGAGAAAATATGCTGAATGGTTTAGGAACTAGCACTGACCACAGACGGAGGGATGGAAAAACGGACGGTCAGACAGACGTTTTGTCGTTAATTGATTTTTCGGTATCAAGGACCCACAAAACATTGATTCTGGATACACCACGTTTTAGAAGTAATGTGAAGTAATTTACTGTTTATAGTAACAGGATTTATCCACTTTTTCGTTTCCAAGACTCGGCAATGAAAATTTGCCGTTTTCCAGCGCCCGATAAGTTGAAGATGCACCGACGTCGACAAAGTCTCCAACTGCGGAGAGATACAAATAATCACCTGCTAGACTGCAATGGACTTGAATAAATATGGGAATTCAATTCGAGTCACTGAGTTTTGGAACTCTAGGCATGTGTTAGTGTCTTGGAAAATATTAATCACGAGACAAACCGGCGAAGCACACGTAAGACTGTGCGCTTCGTCCAAACCAAATCTTAGCCAAAGAAAACAAAGATTTTACGTTGACATTTTAAATTAAAACTATTTGAACGAGCGAGACATCGCTCATATTTAATTTGACAACCTACTGATAAATAACCAAACCTTTTCCTCTCACGTCCAAACAAACGAGCAGCTCAAAGACAAGCGCGCGGTATCTGTACCTTTACAAATCAATACCAATCATCGAAATCATGTTCAAACTCTTCTCATCTCTTACAAAACACCACGCGTCACTTACAACCCGACAGCAATTCATCCCCACCACCCTTCGGAGAGGACCTCCTTTGCACTCACGAGCGATGTGAAAGGACGACAAAAACATTACCTTTTTAGCACTACATACAATCCATTCCCATACATTAGATTAAAAATCTTCTTTACGTCAAAGATGAAACTAATACTAAAACAAATCAGTTAAGAAATGACTAATTAATGAGACACTAAGAAGGTGAAGAGCAAGAGTTTATCAGTTCGTTGACTTACGGCCGTTCTGGAGACGCTGCAGTCCCAGCCAACGTTTCGGCGTGCAACTTCTGCGACATTTCCTCAGGCGCCGCATTTCACCCTGACCTCCCCCCCCCCCGAGTCAGCCACCTCCGGGCGCGGAAGACGTACGCTCTCGACCATCAATTCGTTTACACAATGCC